GATTGGTTGTAGTGAATGACTGAGCTAACCAAGATTTGTTGTAGTGAATGACTGAGCTAACCAAAGATATATATGACTAGCATCACACAACTGGAAAAAAATCTTTAAACATTCCAAATTTGCTCAAACATATTTTCAAACAATATGTTTACTTTTAACATTCAGTATTTAGTCAACAATTTTCTTCATAATTTATATGCTCAATCATATTCTTTGCTCCTGTTGAAGGAAAAAAAATACATTTTTCCTCATTATATATCTTTTTGATGCTGGGTATGAAACTAGTATTTTCTATGGGCAGATTAAAAAAAGATAATGGTAAAGCCAATATCCAACTTGATTCTTGGTAAAGACATATGTATTATCTAATTTGGCAAGATACTTAAAAAGCAAGGAACACATGTTATGAATAGTCAAATATTAACTACAAAATTCTGTCCCTCGCGTACAGCTGCATAGATGGCTCAGCACCGGAATATCTCAAAGAACTGAGTTATAAACATGTATCCTTGAAGAGCCTGCGATCTTCAACACAGTACTTACTGAGTGTTCCTAGTGTGGATGAACACAGAAAAAAGTTTTACCGAATGCACTCTTTTGAACCGATAGCGCCAAAATTATGGAACAGTTTGCCTCAATCTTTGAGGGGAATTGTAAATGATAAAAAATCATTTAAGAAACATTTAAAAACTTTTTTGTTTAAATAGATATAAAAAAACCAGAGCGCAAGGAGCATGCTAAAGTGGCATGGATACCAGTGCAATATAAATATCAAAATCAATCACTCAATCAAAAAATATGATGAAAGTTAACTAGGTACTAATCTATGTTATTTTCAGGATTGGTTTTGCAGCTGAGCAGTTGGCTAAATGGGTAGGGGAGAGAACTGATATTCAGGTAACTTTTAAATCCTGTTTATTCTTGAAAATGAAATGTGCTGGAGCGCAACCAACTAAAGGTCAATAATAACGTGAAACCAATAAACTGAAATCAATAAAGGATGTGTAAAGAAGTCCATTTCACATTATGCTTTACAAGGCTATCTATACAAAATCTTTTATCTTTGAAAAGTCTTGTTTAAAAAAAATCCTTTTAAGTGTCATATTCTATCTGTCTTGTGATTATGTTACCTGTTCTCCTTCAGTTTTTATCCATAGCTAAAATAATGTTTGGTTCTGATTTCACCTTTTCTTTTAGATTCGAATATTCCGTCCGCCCAATTATTCTGGAACTGTAGCCTTGGCATTGCTGTTTGCTATGATTGGAGGTTTACTGTACTTCAAACGAAACAACCTGGAGTTTTTGTATAATAAGACATCATGGGGCATTATTGCATTGGTAGGCTTTATATAAGACATCATGGGGCATTATTGCATTGGTAGGCTTTATATAAGACATGGGGCATTATTGCATTGGTAGGCTTTATATCTTTTTGTTTTTGTTTCATAAGTAGTCCAAAGACAAAATGAATTAAAATTCAAATAATGACAATTGTTCAATATTTCTTACTTTGACTGTTTATCAATTTTTTTAGGCAGTAATATTTGCAATGACTTCTGGTCAGATGTGGAATCATATCAGAGGCCCACCAGTAATGCACAGGAATCCAAACACTGGTCAAATGGTAATTTCAAAAAAAGATTTTTATCATTTTTTATGTAGATGTATGAATTTTTTAAAAATCAGTAAAAATATGAACAGTTTAAAAATGGTTGAGGTACCCGTATGTAATTTTGCATAATTGATTTTTACAAATGTTTTTTGTTTTCTTATGGCTTGCAAGAGCAATATAGAATATTAAATTTACATTTGCTTAAATTGTTTTGCTTCTTTAATTTTCAATAGCACTACATTCATGGCAGCAGCCAGGGCCAGTTTATCATGGAGACTTATATTGTTATGCTGCTTAGTATCCTTTTTAAAAATACATTTTTCATGTTCAAAACTTACAATAATTTATGTACATATGTTACCTGTAAATTAAGTCTAAGCGTTATCTTTTTCAGTTCCTGAGTTAAAAAAAACCCACTGGTACAGTACAAAATAAAAAGCATTGACCTCTATTTTTCATTACACAAAAGAGAAAAAAACAAGCTCTTTTCTGATATTGCAAATTATTTCAATTTGATCTTTTTAATATATTGAATTTAGGAGCTTAAGTTTATGATAATTTTACAGATGAATTCATAGTCGGTAAATGTTTATATCTGGTTAACAATGTTTTGAATTTGAAGCAGTCCCTGTGTCTTCCTTAACGGATCACCCCAGACACTGCTGTTGTTGTTGGTTTCATTATGCTAAATGAGGCGCAAACTATGAAAGGAGACCCAGGGAAAAAGAGAAGTGAGTTTTCTATTTAGGATATAATAATGCTGAAAGTTTGTCAAACTCTAATGGATTAAACAATAAAAAAACTTATGTTGTATAATCAGTTGCAACTGTGTAATGATTAAAATACTATTTAAAATGAAATAATAAAGTTTTTAAAGAATGTGTGAAAACAAAATTGCAGAAAAAAATAAATTCAGTTAACTTTCCTTACTTAAATTCAAATGGGAGTGCGATTCAAATTTAGTATTAATTAGAGAGCCAGTACTAATAATCCTATCTCATTTTAAATACCACTGACGCAAGTACTAGTACTAGTAATACTACCATCTAAATTTAAATAATACTGACAAGGCTTTATTTAGACATGTGCAATCTATACTTCATAAATAAATTTTTGAAAATGTTTTTTCCCACAGTACTCTCATTAGTTGGTCTAGGATGTGTGACAATCTTCTTTAGTCTACTGCTGTCTGTCTTTAGGTCTAAATACCAAGGATATCCTTATAGGTAAGCTTTTCCATCTTAAACATACTTTTGTCCAATTTTTTATGTAGTCACAAATTGTCATTACATTATGCACAGTCAAAGACCTTTTGAGAAAAAAAATCATTCTTTGTCATTTGGTTTTTTATTATTTATTTGTTCATGCATTCATTGAGAGGTTAAAGTTTAGTATGTAATACTTAGTAAACCACTTAAAAGATTAGATTCAACAATTCCTTGGCTAAATTATCATCATAACTTTATCATTAACTCTACTTTGTACAAGGCAGCTTTCCCAGAATAACGTTTAATAATTTTTCTCTTTCCAGTTTCTTATTCAAGTAAAAGAAACAGTTATGACTTTGTTAACATTTATGTATTGAAGTTGAAGGTCAAAAGAATGCATTGTTGCTGTGGTCTGCATCATTAATTTTAGACATAACTAAAAGTGTACGAATCATTTGGCAAAGCTGGTGTCTTTATACAGATACAGCTCCCTACGCATTGAAATAAAAAAATGGCTTCATCTATCGATTCTTTAGTAAAATAAATAAATTAAAAAAATTGATATTTTGTTTGAAATCAAAGTAGTTCATATTCAAGCTGTGCTAGTTTTATTACTTATATCAAGTTCAATCAGTAAATCTTTTTTCCAGATGTTGTAAATTTGTTAATACTTATAGAGCCCACATGAAAATAATTTTCTCTCGAGGCCATATAAAACAAGTTTTTCTGAACCTCAGTTTTAGCAGTAGAGCGGAATGCTTTTTAATGACGCAAACGTGTCATGTTTTAAAATGCTACATTGTGTCCATTTGTTCATCAAATATTCCATATTATTTCAATTTCTTTTACAAGTTCAAAACATTTGTTTTCTATTTGCAATTTTAATATTTTTAATGATGGTTTTGATGTCAAGAAAGCCACATAATTGTTATTTAAATCTCATAAAGTAAATATGTGAGAGTGAAAAGCTGTAGACTGCTTGGGAAATCAGTTGTTTGTTAATTTGATTGATATTAGTTTATTAGTATCTCTGTTTGTCATACATTTATTTAAAAATTAATATTTGTCTTTTTTTGGGGTTTAAAATAATATAAATTTATTGCCTTGGCATTGTTCAATTCAATTCATTCTAGGATGCAAAGTTTACTATTTTAACACTGACAAATGTGAAGTGAAAGAGATAGGGTTGTTATTATTAACAAGACATCCACTAAAAGTAACCTATGGAATAATTGCAATTGTTGAAAATACCATGCAAGTAAAAGATTTGAGGATCTGAGAGTTAAATTTGCCTAAGCTTTATGTCCATTATTTTCCTAGGCATTTATTATGTTTGAATAATAGGTGTATAGAATATTGTTCTGGGATTGCTTAAACTTTCAAAGCTTATAATTATTTTCATTAAAACAAGGTTAAATAATTTGTTTTGTTTTTAAATTTATATTAATTTCAATTTTGACAAAACCCCAACTTCTGCTTTCTTGTTGCAGAGTTAAGCAGATTAAAATTAATGCCAATCTCCTACCTCAACTGTAGATACAGAATCTAATTTTAATGCACGGATTAAAACTTCTTAAAATTTTGCAGGTCATCTACCCTTATTTAAGTTCTTTGGCAGTTCAGTGGAGTTTTTATTCAAGCAAATCAAATAATAGATTCTTTAAACAAATATACAATGGAACTTACATTGCAATTGTAAGCTTTTTGCATTAAGTTGGTCTGCAATTTTTAACTCTGTTAAGCACAGCATTACGATGTCAATTGCAATTTATTTAGTTTCATATAAATTAGATTTTACTCAATAAATTCTCTGTAAATCAGATTATTTCTGAAATAAACAAACTCGATAAGAATGTCTGAGTAAACAATATACACTTTTGATTTAAGAAAATTTTTAACTACCGGTACATTAATTTTTAAATTATAATATAATTGATATAAAACTTGAAATTGGATGGTCATCAATTGCTACTATTTTTTAAAAGAAAAATCAAGTGTTAAAAGTCCCCCCCACAATGAAATAAGATTGTTCATGAATAAAATAATTGTAAGCACTTCTACCTTTTGAATCAAATCATACATCTCTTTAATCTGATTAATACAAAATTATTTGAACTTTATCTTAAAAAACAGATATTTGCTCTTTTGGTTTTTTATTTTGTCTTATATATTTTTCTTTATATGTCCCCAACAGTCATTGTATAATAATGAACAATTTAGAAAAAAAACAGACATTTTTTAAATTTTATTATTACTCATCTTTCACACAAACAATAACACAAAAGAATTATCAAGAACTAGTTAAGTCATATCCATGCTATCTTCTGAGCTGTCTACGTGGTGCCATGGAAGTTCCTCTGTCTCACTATCAGTTTCATTGTCACTCTTCTCTGCCGCTTCTCTCTTACGCTTAAGTTTTGTAAGAGCAAGAAGATACTGGCAAGTGTATTTGTTATGATCAGATCTGAAAACATAAATTTATATAAAGTCTATCATATCACTTGACATACAATGGTTTGAGTCAGGTCTCTCTAATATATGTTCTTCCAAGCTTGATTCTAGCCCTAGCATCGATAAAGCCATTATCGATAAAGCAGCCCTTAGGATGTGGTATCAAAGAAAAATGTCATCCACAAATAAGAGTGGGTGACGTGAGAAACAAAGAATTAAAGTTTACAGAATATTTACTTACATATTTTATTTTAAAATACCAGTACACAATTTTTTTTGATCTAAAGTGAGCCAATCTCAAGTTCATGGTCTGGAGTTCAAAACCCACCAAAGCCCAGTTAAGAAAAACATCACCAGCACCCTGGGTGGATGGGACTCGTTAACCTTAGATGGCAACTCATCTAAGAGAAGGAAACTGAACTCAAACCCAGAGAGGGAGTTCCGTAGGCAGATAACATTGGCACAATGAAACATTCCAAAAACTCATGTGATGCCACTGGTGCCAAGCTGTATCATCCACATGATGTTCCCTTGGGTTTATCCAGCGGCGTGGAGAGAGGCGATTTGCATGTAGGGAACGGCTTATAATCCTAAAAAGAATAATCCCAGGCCTTGTGGATTTCATCCTGCAAAGTCTACACCATCGTCAAAGTGTGAAGGACAGATGCCAGCCAAAAAAAATAACCATTTCAAACAGACTATTAACCATCAAAGATAACGTGTCAGAATAATCCTGTGTTGCATTACAAGAGAAGCCAGGGAAACCGATGTTAAGTGCCAATATAAATGTAAGATAATGTGAAGCCAAACAAAGACAATGACTAAACACAATGTGGCAAAACCATTTTTAAATGACAATGTGCAGAACCATGTCGATTTTACATTTAAAGGAGTTTGGTCATCAACTGGCAATTGGTGTGTTACTATAAAGGAAAGATGAGATACACTGTAACTTTTCATGATCCATGTCTTAGCTTATTTGGTGACCAAAGAACAGCATGAGTGTCATAGCTTATTTGGTGACCAAAGAACAGCGTGAGTGTCTTAGCTTCTTTGATGACCAAAGAACAGCGTGAGTGTCTTAGCTTATTGATGACCAAAGAACAGCGTGAGTGTCTTAGCTTCTTTGATGACCAAAGAACAGCATGAGTGTCATAGCTTATTTGATGACCAAAGAACAGCGTGAGTGTCTTAGCTTCTTTGATGACCAAAGATGGTATAATTGTCTTAGCTTCTTTGATGACCAAAGAACAGCGTGAGTGTCTTAGCTTCTTTGATGACCAAAGAACAGCGTGAGTGTCTTAGCTTCTTTGATGACCAAAGATGGTATAATTGTCTTAGCTTCTTTGATGACCAAAGAACAGCGTGAATGTCTTAGCTTCTTTGATGACCAAAGAACAGCGTGAGTGTCTTAGCTTCTTTGATGACCAAAGAACAGCGTGAGTGTCTTAGCTTCTTTGATGACCAAAGAACAGCGTGAGTGTCTTAGCCTCTTTGATGACCAAAGAACAGCGTGAATGTCTTAGCTTCTTTGATGACCAAAGAACAGCGTGAGTGTCTTAGCTTCTTTGATGACCAAAGATGGCGTGAATGACTTAGCTTAGTTTTGCATGACACAACTATAACATGTAAGGGACACACTACTGTGTCATGACACACCTACAACATGCAGATGACACACTACTGTCATGACACACCTACAACATGCAGATGACACACTACTGTGTCATGACACACCTACAACATGCAGGCGACAGACTACTGTGTAAGAAAACACATTTTTGGAAACACTGGAGTAAATAAAGAATCAGTGGAGGCTACTCACATTTTTCTAAGATCTTCATATTTTCGGCTCATGTTGCGCTGTAATGTTCTTAAAGAGGCCATGACTTGCTGTGACCTTTGCTTTAACTTTGGTCCATGCGTCATCAATAGAGGCAGTAGCCACAGAAGGTAAAACTCTATGTGGGCGGAGACTTCTATCATGTGGCCAGTGAAAGCCAATAGCTTGTCCACGTAAGTGTCTGATAAGTTTTCAATGATGTTTGGGGCTGTGGAAGGAAGTTGAAATTCAAAGTAAGAATTGAGCTTCCCTGTCCCTCCCAGTGAAACTAAGAGAAAACTTAACTGTATCATTTTGTTTCATGCTTAAATAAAGTAGACAAAAACTATGATGTCAAAAACTTCTTATTTTTAGACTTAATGTAAAGTGAAGACTGAAGTCAAATAGAGAATAGTTAGAATTTAAAATGATTCTATTGCGCTTTCTTGCTCTGTTTTAACACCCCAAAAATAATCTCCCTTTTAATGACTATAATTTAACATGAAATCTTGCTGTACTAAATGGACTTCTTTTAAGCTTTTCTTTGGTTTGTTCATGAAAACATTGAATATTGAGCCAATAAAAATATCTTATCTTGACTTGCCACTGAAATCTTATCTTGACCTATCAATAATATCTTATCTTGACTTATCACTGATTTCTTATCAATAATATCTTATCTCATCAATAATATCTTTTCTTGACTTATCACTAATATCTTATCTTGACTTATAAATAATATCTTAACTTGGCTTATCACTAATATCTTGACTTATCACTGATATCTTATCTTGGCTTATCACTAACATCTTATCTTAACTTATCACTAATATCTTATCTTGACTTATCAATAATATCTTATCTTGACTTATCACTGATATCTTATCAATAATATCTTATCTTGACTAATCACTGATATCTTAACTTATCAATAATATCTTATCTTGACTTATCACTATCTTAACTTGGCTTATCACTAATATCTTGACTTATCACTGATATTTTATCTTTGCTTATCACTAACATCTTATCTTGACTTATCTAATATCTTATCTGGACTTATTACTGATATCTTATATTGACTTTTCACTTTTATCTTATCTTGGCTTATCACTAATATCTTACCTTGACGTATCACTGATATATTATCTTGTCTTATCACTATCTTATCTTGACTTACCACTTATATCTTATCTTGACTTACCACTAATATCTTATCCTGACTTACCACTATCTTAATCTTATCTTGACTTTCCACTATCTTTTCTTGACTGATCACTAATATCTTACCTTGATGTATCTCTAATATATTATCTTTAATATCTTATCTTACCATTAATATCTTATCTTGGCTTATCAATAATATCTTATCTTGACTTATCACTAATATCTTATCTTGACTTACCACTATCAGCTGGGATAGACTCAAGCACTTCCAGTATAAGGTTCTGCTCATTTAATCTGAAGCTCAACATTAATGCTGCAGAGTAGTCTCCTTGCATTAGAGTGGCTCTCACATTTGCTGGCGTTATCTCCATTTCCAGCTCAAAAGGATCAAACACTATGCTTTGATCAAGGGAGTACACCAAAAGTCCCTCGGTTGAACACGCAACCCAAGATCGACCTGGAAATTACAGTTCTAAAGATAAGCTTCTTTTTAACTACAGGACAAATATATATTGTTTTAAAGCTCAATGGGCTCTCTTTTGCCTTAGTGGTGACCCCTGCCAACTAAGTCTAGATGGGAAAGAAATGTATGCTATAGAATTAACAGCAATTGATTAACAACAATCAAAATTATCTTAAATAAGTAAAAACTATTTATTCTTTTTGAATTTTACAAAACTATGGATTCTATTTGAGTTGTGTAAAGCTAAATTTAAACTGTGAAAAGTGAAAGAAAGAAGGGGATAAAAGCAGATTATTGATGAAAATGTTTGTTTGTTAGCACGCATGTTATAGTGTCTGTTGTAATGTTATAACACATGTTATAGTGTCTGTTGTAATGTTAGCACACATGTTATAGTGTCTGTTGTAATGTTATCACACATGTTATAGTGTCTGTTGTAATGTTAGCACACATGTTATAGTGTCTGTTGTAATGTTAGCACACATGTTATAGTGTCTGTTGTAATATTAGCACACATGTTATAGTGTCTGTTGTAATGTTATCACACATGTTATAGTGTCTGTTGTAATGTTATCACACATGTTATAGTGTCTGTTGTATTGTTAGCACACATGTTATAGTGTACTTTCTATTAAAGATGTTCACACATCATCCACAGTATTAGATTACATCATAAAGTTGCCCAGCTTTAAGGTCATACCAAGATAGTATGTGTCAATAGCTTTAATGTCATATCAAGTTAATATGTGTGAATAGCTTTAAGGTCATATCAAGATAACATGTGTGAATAGCTGAAACAAAGAGATTACCTGTAGCTGAATTCTTTTGAAAAAAACATTTATGGCCAAAGATAATAAATGATTGAAATCAGCTTTTAATCGATGCGGTTTCTGTCCAGCCCTGACACTCTCCCAATAAAACTCTATTATTCAGATGTTCAAGGTTGCTTTATGGCACAGCTGATAACCAAGTGGACAGAAAAGGGAACTAAAGAACTGAGATCAATACCAACAGTTGAGTTGGTCATTTATTGACAAAAGATTGAACTTTCCTTATATTAGGTTAAAGCCTCTAAAAGAAGAATAGCTCAGGTAAAAAAAACTTGTTAAAAAAAGCTAAGCTCGACAACTGTGTGTTTAAATTTTGATCGTGCATCCATTATATATAACAAAAGAACTCAGAATGTCATAATTCCTTCTTCATAACCACATTTCTTCCTTCATAACCACATTATCACATTTCCTCCTTCATAACCACATTGTCACATTTTCTCCTTCATGCCACCTTGTCATATTTCCTCACCATGACCACATTAAAAAATAATAATAATACTATAATTTAATTCACTTTCCTAATTGCCCTAAACCCCTTTGAAGGTAGTCAGATACCACATTAATTTTTACCCACTTCATTTTTTTCACAAAACTTAATACATTTGTAAATCAAATGAGCACACTTTATCAACATTGTACTGAAACTTCATCAACATTGTACTGAAACTTTATCTACAGTGTACTGAAACTTTATTCAACACTGTACTGGGTTCTTAATATGCTTGAAAAGCAAAGAGTTTAAGAAACTAGTCACAGGGAGAGAATTTGCAGTTAAAAGATAATTTCAGTTAAAAGACATGTCAGATATTGAACTATCAATAGCAATTTCAAGATGAATTTTCCTCCATTTCTCCTTGAGATATTGGCCAGACAAGGTCTTATGACAAGTAATATCAACATGACACAGCAGGGCTGGCTTATCACCAAAATATGGCATTGTTTTTCTGACATTGCTAAAAGACCCGTGGGTATTGCAAAACTTCACTAGTCCTCTTGAGGTTTCCACTGTGATATGATGTCTAGGAAAGCTAAAAATGGGAATATTTAAATTGATAAATTCTATTATAGGAGATTGAAATTGTTTTTTCGCCTTTCGTTTTATACAAGGACAGTTGAATAATTTACACTTCTTCTAAGACAAAAGTTTCCAAACCTGGAGTGAAGTGCTCTAAAACAAACTGACTTTCATAATGGAGGCCATGATATGGTACAAACCCAACAGCAGCCACATCATTGTACCACTGAATATGGCGGATGAGTTTTATCTAATACTAATGACAGTATATTCACTGGGAGCTGTGGGGAACATGATTTCAATCGCCGTCTTTAGCCAAAAAGCCTTTCAGGAATCTGCGTCCTCCCTGAGCCACCAACTACTGTGTGCATTAGAAACTGTTTACATGGGCATCGTGTCATGGGGGATTACTATCATTCATCAACAAATCCTACTGACAAAAACAATCTGCTTGCTCCTTCTGTACCTCATGCATGTGACAAACATAATATGCAACTGGATGGTTGTTCTGGTGACAATAGAGCGCCTGACCTCTGTCATTTTACCACTAAGGGTGAGAATCTTGTGGACCAAAAGAAGGATTTTAATCATGTTTTTCATGACTTCAAGTTTCACGCTAGTCCTGTACAGTGCTATTTTTATTGTGTCCACAAATCTCGATGCCCTGGAAACAAACTCATCTGCCGTGTTTGCTTGTTTGTCACATTTTCAAGATGGTAACTTGGAAGCCACGAGAGCCTGGCTTGAGATTATTTTCATGCATTCTCTCCCATGCATCATACTGGTCATTGGCAACGGTTTGATCATCCTGGCCCTGGGCAGAAGCCGGCTCTTTCTAACTAGGTCAAACTCCTGGAGGGAGATATTTGTGAGTAACAACAGTGAACACATAGCAACACGTGAGCTGCGTAGCACTGATGCACAAATGGACACTTCTGAGTTCGACATGAACAGCAAGCATTATTTTAACAACCAGAGCAATACAGATGTCAGTTATAAAATTTGGACAGCAGAGACAGAGATTCAAAATACATATTCTGAATCAGGCAGCAATGAAAGAAGTCACTCTCAAAACAATAAAGAGCCAGCACACAACTTTTTGGAAACAAGCATTGGTGTCAAAGTAAGCACCACTGTTAGCTTGGAGACTGATGATAAAGAACTCATAGCAGATTCAAGAGGAATGTACAACAATTATCCCGGTGTAACCGAATTAAGTGACATAGTTGCCAGCACGCATGGAACAGCTGCTTCAACATTCTTGACCCGGTCGTGCTCTGACGATAACATACAGAATACTTTTCAAGAAATTAGTGACTTCTTACCAAACCCTACTGACTTTAAAGTCAGCCATTATTCCGGACGCAAATCTTCAGCGGCAGACACTGTGCTCAGTAACTTAAGTTCTCTCAATGAGGATGACATCAGCGAAGCACCAACTGACATTTCAACGGCAAGTCACCAGACTGACCTGATGTCAAATTTTTCTCACAGGTCGAGAACCGATTCTAACACGGCTGGAGATAAAAAGTCACTGAGCATCAGACAGGGTCAGCCCAGCAGACAGTTACGCCGCCGTGAGAGAGCCATGACACTGACCCTGCTTTTAATTAATTTTACATTTCTCGGGACAAAGACACCTTACTTCATTCACATCATGGCACTACCAGGATTCCCAGATAAAACTTCTATTCTGTCGTTGCATGATGCCGAGGTTAAGCTTCTCTTTGTCATACTGGCGTCACTTTTTAATGCGGTCAGTTTCCTTTTATACTGCATGGCAGGTTCAAAATTCAGACAAGAACTACGACAAATGTTTCAGCAATTGGCCAAAAAATGTCTAAGATTTTAAATTCATTATTTATCAGTTTCAATTGGACAGCGTTGCCAGGCGATTGCATATTTTATAAAAACATTTTATGCATTGGAGTAATCCATTTTTTATTTATTTTTCCCTGGCTATAAATGCAATAAAAAATTCAGAAACATTTTATTATCTCCATTTTTATTTTAAAGATAACTTTCTAAGAATGTTCTGATGCAAAATTTTGTTAAGATTTTTAGAAAAAATATCTTAGAAGAGATTGTATAAATTTGGAAGCGAGTGAGGAGGTTTGGAACTTAAAAAGGGAGAAAGAAATTATAAATTTTTTTGTAGTAGCAGGGCAAAGAAGTGTATTACATTGGCAGGTAAATCATTTTCAATGTTGGCCATTATTGCTGCCAAATTAAATCAAGAAATAAAATGTTGATTTTAAGCAAGTTTATGCAGTCCCAGGAGATACCATGCTTGTCATCTTTTATGTAGAAGAAATTTTTCACATCAGGCAGTGTTAACAGCCATCTTTTATTGGTTTAAAAAATTACATGTCCACCAGAAAAACACAAAATTGAAAGCAACCAGTGTCTTTCTAGTACTGCCATAGCAACCAGTGTCTTTCTAGTACTGCCATAGCAACCAGTGTCTTTATAGTACTGCCATACGTACGACTAAAACTTCTAACCTGTAGGGGAGAAGTGCAGTGAGTAGACTCGAACCTCAGGTTTCCAGAATCTGGAACTGTGGTCACCCTTCTTAACTCCTGGCAGTGCTATAGCTTTACCATCATCTCCCTGACCAGTGTCCACCAAAGACAAGCTGCCCCACTCTGTCATCTTACGCCTGTCCAAAAATTCCTTTAAGAAAAACAATTTACTTGTATACCTTTTTCCTATTTTTTTCCATTTAACAGTATCAAATAATTATGATGAATTAACAATTACCTCAGATACAAGAAACAATGTTATACCGTAATTTTCACAAGTTAGTTTAAGGTGAACATTTAAAGCACCAAACTTAATAATAGTTACCTCCATTCCATCTAAAGAATGGTTGCAGGAAATGACAAATTTTTTCATCAGGAGTTGGTCTTGTACTGAGTAGATGCAAACATTCTTAGATCGACCAGCAGCAAGGATGCATTCACCATCAGCACTATAACACAACGTCTCAAAGGACCTATTCAAAGAAACATTCATAACAATTAGCACTGTAAGACAACTTCTCAAAGGATCTATACAAAGTAACAATCATAAAAATCAGCAATGTAACAGAACATCTCAAAGGACCCATACAATGTAACATTCATAGCAATCAGCAATGTAACAGAACATCTCAAAGGTCCTATACAATGTAACAGAACATCTCAAAGGTCCTATACAATGTAACAGAACATCTCAAAGGACCTATACAATGTAACAGAACATCTCAAAGGACCTAAACAATGTAACAGAACATCTCAAAGGTCCTATACAATGTAACATTCATAGCAATCAGCAATGTAACAGAACATCTCAAAGGACCTATACAATGTAACAGAACATCTCAAAGGACCTATACAATGTAACAGAACATCTCAAAGGACCTATACAATGTAACAGAACATCTCAAAGGACCTATACAATGTAACATTCATAGCAATCAGCAATGTAACAGAACATCTCAAAGGACCTATACAATGTAACATTCATAGCAATCAGCATTATAATAGTACATCTCAAAGGACCTATACAATGTAACAATCATAACAATCAGCAATGTAACATAACATCTCAAAGGACCTATACAATGTAACATTCATAGCAATCAGCAATGTAACAGAACATCTCCAAGGACCTATACATTGTAACATTCATAGCAATCAGCACTGTAACAGTACATCTCAAAGGACCTATACAAAGTAACAATCATAACAATCAGCAATGTAACAACATCTCAAAGGACCTATACAAAGTAACAATCATAACAATCAGCAATGTAACAGAACATCTCAAAGGACCTATACAATGTAACAATCATAGCAATCAGCAATGTAACAGAACATTTCAAAGGACCTATACAATGTAACATTCATAGCCATCAGCAATGGACAGTACTATAGAAAATACATTGACACTGTAATCCAAAAACTATTCGTCCTTTTTACAGAGAAGTGGCAAGCAAACTTTCATCTACATTAAAACTTTTTATAAACCTTCTGATTCATCAATATAGGTATAGAGACAGATCTCAGTTCATGAATATAGATATAGAGACAGATCTCAGTTCATGATTATAGGTATAGAGACAGATCTCAGTTCATGAATATAGGTATAGAGACAGATCTCAGTTCATGAATATAGGTATAGAGACAGATCTCAGTTCATGAATATAGGTATAGAGACAGATCTCAGTTCATGATTATAGGTATAGAGACAGATCTCAGTTCATGAATATAGGTATATAGACAGATCTCAGTTCATGAATATAGGTATATAGACAGATCTCAGTTCAACAATATAGGTATATAGACAGATCTCAGTTCAACAATATAGGTATATAGACAGATCTCAGTTCATGAATATAGGTATATAGACAGATCTCAGTTCAACAATATAGGTATATAGGCAGATCTCAGTTCAACAATATAGGTATATAGACAGATCTCAGTTCATGAATATAGGTATATAGACAGATCTCAGTTCATGAATATAGGTATATAGACAGATCTCAGTTCATGAATATAGGTATAGAGACAGATCTCAGTTCATGAATATAGGTATAGAGACAGATCTCAGTTCATGAATATAGGTATAGAGACAGATCTCAGGTCATGAATATAGGTATAGAGACAGATCTCAGTTCATCAATATAGGTATATAGACAGATCTCAGTTCATGAATATAGGTATATAGACAGATCTCAGTTCAACAATATAGGTATATAGACAGATCTCAGTTCATGAATATAGGTATATAGACAGATCTCAGTTCATCAATATAGGTATATAGACAGATCTCAGTTCATGAATATAGGTATATAGACAGATCTCAGTTCAACAATATAGGTATATAGACAGATCTCAGTTCAACAATATAGGTATATAGTCAGATCTCAGTTCATACTAGTTTCTGAAATTGTATGACTATTTTGAAAAATAACATGCGATTATACTTACCATATCTTACTACAGTTTAAAATTGACTTTTGAAACTACAATGGTGCTAGAGTTTTAATCATTATTTGAACCCACTTAAAAATCATCCAAATCAAGGTTCCCACTATTTTTTAGAAACAAAATTCCCTACTTTTCCCTAACTAAAAACAAAAACATTCCTGACTATGACAACTAGCGTTTTTGTTGATAATATAAAAACAAGCATGAAATTGTCAAAGCAAAAACAACATTGAAATACAACACAAATGAACAAAATTAAGCAAATAGGGTGGATACATGTAAATATTTATTAAATTTCTTAGCTATTGCAATTTTTCAATTTACTTAGACTTGAAAAATTGTTGATGTTTACTTTTAAAGTGCAAGGGCAACTTTTGCAATGTGTTCTCTGGGGAATTTTAGAACATAACTATAGCTACCACAAATGGAAAGCATCGTTTCTTATATGGAGTTAATTTTCCCTTCTTTGTGATGAACATGTATAGTTTGAGTCAACACACTTAAATGTCTATAAAATCACTCCAATGAGGAGTTTCATAATTTAACAAATGAATTGGGAGCCTGAGAAGTTGCAGAAGTGGACATCTAAGATAGGGGATAAAGCTGAAGTTGAACTAAATGATAGACGAAGTTTCATCAGATGATCGACATTTTAAAACATTTTCGCCTTGAATACTTGGTATCAATATTTCCAGCATAATGAAGCAGCGATGATTTGCTCAATCATTATCATGATTGCTGTCCTGACCATCAGTTTTAAAGGAACTGTTGGGCATTATTTCATGGAACCTAGATCCTGAATAGTGAAACGAAATAAAATATATTATCATATTAGTTTTATAATTTACAGGAAGGCATACATCATTTAGACTGTATTATACCTGTACTAAACTACGGTAATATACTGAGTCAGAAGAGATACTAAGATATGTATATGAAACGGCATAGTCAGGATTTTCCGCAGGGGAACGGACCATTGACACCCCCCCCCCGCCTACACCACTGTGCTTATTAATAATAATATAGTATAATACAGTAGAGTATCCCCAGAACAAAGGAGTGCATAACTATGAATAAAGACCAATTATATACAGTTATGCTAGGCTCACTCAATGGGTGCATCAAATCAACTATGGCTATGCTAGTTTTAATAACTTTTAAAAGAAGTTCTAAGTCAGCCGTATACTAAGCTATGTAAAAATAACATCACAAAATAACTTAATCATATTAGCTTATTTAAATTTAGAAGGCCTACTCCATTATTAAATTTAAAGTGAATTTTAAATTAAGGTAAAAAAAGTTAGACTGCCTAAGCTGTATTTAAAAATACAATAATGTCGCCTACATACATTAAAACCGTTAAAAATCAACTTATTAAGACATAACAAATTACACTAAGATTAGTCATTTTAGACAGCGCTTAGACGAGTTGTTTTCTATTCATAATAGTTACCTCACAATTAAAAACTAGATTATGATAATTATTTACTATATTTTGCACTTTACTTACCCAAACATCTCTTCATCGGCGATGTGAACAGAAAAGAAATATATCTGGTCTATCAAAGCAGTAGTGGTACGATATTCAAAACTTGTAGAACTCGAAATGCATGAGCATTTAAGGGCAAAAATCACTAGCATTTTGGCAAAGTCCTTTTGATTGATAACAGAAAGGCTAACAATAAACGAGATCGGCGATAAAAGTCAATAATCATGGATTCCAAATTTATGATTATTTTTACAAATATTCTATTTTTTTCCAACTAGCCGGAAAATTTCCTTACTATTGGGTTTATTTTCCTGGTTTTCATGAACAGGAAAATTATTCAGTGAATTTCAGACTATTTCCCGCTTTCCCGACTGCGTGTGAGCCCTGTCAAGTGAATGTTTGACTGCAGTTAATGACTGATTTTTACTTAACTGAAAGCTGAAAATAATAATAATAAAGTTTATTCAAAAATCATGCTTTATCCCCAAAGGCTCAAAGCGCGGTACAAAGTCAACCATATTAAAAGAGAAATGAAAAAAAAATCTATATATTATGCCACATTGAAATATAAAATGCAACATTACAAAAACTACATATGAGAATACCCATTCTAAGTCCTTCATCCCTTGCAAACATAAACAACACAGGCCAATATACATCTAGGAGATAATAGCCAGCTGGAAAAGATGGTAGACAACATCACCCCAGCAGTAAGTAAGCAGCTCTGTAGATGAAATATTCTTATGGTTATCCTACTTACTTCCCTTCAGCTGATGTTTTCCCTGAAATTTTATCAGTTTCCTTGCGATAGTATCCCAAATCATGCCTTCCTTCAATTGTTCCTTTCTGCTGTGCTGAGCTCGAGTCCCAAAATGTGATGTGTGCATTCAGAGTACCCACAGCCAGCTCTTTACCATCAGGCCGAAAGGTCAGTGTCATTACTTGAAAAATACAAACAGAATGCAACCATATTTAAGCGCTGTCTTAGCCAACACATAGAATTATATCTTGGCATCAGAAATCATGGCAACAAATTAAGTTTTAAGCAAGATATAATACTTGTAGGTTTGGTTAAAATTGTAACTATTTTCAAGGGTATACAATATAATTTAATACCAGTATTTATATATTTTCTCTGTTTTACTTAAATAAACTATTACAATACATAAAATGAATCATTAATTCATTCAGCAAGATTACACTGGTGGGTCTGGTTAAAATTGTAACTATTTCCTAGTCTATACAACACAATTTAATACCAGTATTAATATATTTTCTGTTTTACTTAAATACATTAAAACAACAAATAAAATTACTCATAAATTTATTTACATTTCTAAGTATCAATGACAATGCTTCAGATAATATTACCAACAAAAGTAATCAAGGGTCATTTTATAAATCAATATTCAAATTACCATCTGAGTTGAGTTCAATAGTTTCTCTCTTTCCACCTTCTTCATAGATGCTCCACAATCTGACAGTTTTATCCCATGATCCACTTGCCAATGTGCCATCAGATTGACTGAAATCCAAGGCACTTACTGGTCCTTCATGGCCAGCTAGGGTCTAAAAATATTCAAATAAAAAAAAATCAATCATCAACAAAAACCAGAAAAACTTGTATGGCACCTTTTTGGGTGTTGGTGTCAAGAAGACGGGATCCTTTTTACAAGCTCGGAATCCTCTTTACAAGCTCGGCACTCATACTTTATAAAAATAAAATAAAAATGTAACTGATTAATTTATAAATATAAAACTATTTATATTATTGTAGGGCATTGAATGAACTAATACAATCTTTATGAATCGAACTGAAATCTTAACATTTATGCAAATGAGATATCCTGATTTGCTATTGCATGCTATTGTTTATACACTTAGAATAAACATGTCTTACTTATGTTAAATTTGATGATTGTTGAAGCCTAAATAAGTCCTAACCCATATTTGAATGAGATGCAGTATGAAAAACTAAATAAAATATTCCCCAGGGGCTGCTTATGCCTCTTGACATATTTCAATGGTCACATATTTTTAAAGCAATTTTAGGGGTCACTAGGCACAAAATAATTTGATATAAAATGATAGAACACTGTAAACTATCAATGGAAGCCACCATTAAAATGGCAAGCTGAGCAATAAATGCAAGAAGCAATATAAAGCTGGTACAAAGAGCAGCCAGCCAATCTTGAGGATTGAATTATCGGGTGGATAGATCAGCCCAAGAGGGTTAAACTAAAGAAAATGTAAAGCTTCAAAGGAAAACCATTTTCATTACAAATCTAAACTATATCATGTACCTGTAATAGTCCACCAGTTTTCATTACAAATCTAAACTATATCATGTACCTGCAATAGTCCACCAATTTTCATTATAAATCTAAACTATATCATGTACCTGCAATAGTCCACCAATTTTCATTATAAATCTAAACTATATCATGTACCTGTAATAGTCCACCAATTTTCATTATAAATCTAAACTATATCATGTACCTGCAATAGTCTACATGTTTTCATTACAAATCTAAACTATATCATGTACCTGCAATAGTCCACCAATTTTCATTATAAATCTAAACTATATCATGTACCTGCAATAGTCCACCAATTTTCATTATAAATCTAAACTATATCATGTACCTGTAATAGTCCACCAATTTTCATTATAAATCTAAACTATATCATGTACCTGCAATAGTCTACCAGTTTTCATTACAAATCTAAACTATATCATGTACCTGCAATAGTCGACCAGTTTTCATTGTCCAGACATAAATCATAAACTCATTGGTTCCACCAGCACAGACTATTTCCCCAGCTCCATCAACAGCAAGGCATGAGAACTGATCAGGTTTAGGAGATGTAAATGTTTTATAATTGCGATACCTGTAAATTTACAAGTGAAGAATACTTTTTTAAACAAATATAATAATCTACAATAAATGTAAAAAGGTAATATAAATATTGTAACAAAATATTTTTTTTTCTTTTTTCTATTAACAAATTCTAAAAACCAGTGACAATATAAATATAAGACTTATTTAAAGCTAAAAAAAAACCAACTAATTAAAAATCATAGGCAAATATTTTTTTCTAGAACTATAAAGCTACCCTAGAAATTGAACAAGCCTCAACAACTAATAAACAATCTACTGAGCTGACCTTGTAAGATCAAATGCACGTACTGTTCCATCAAGAGAACTGGACAGGACACTTTTGCCATTTTGTGTGACCTTGACACCTGTGATTTCTCCTGCATGCTCACTGAACGTGACAAAACAAAATCCTGACATGGAATTCCACACTTTCACCTTAGACAAAATTGAAATAGAAAAAAGGTCAATTACTTTCAATGACTTTCTTTGTTATTCTAATCTGCCGTGTCCATTTGAAAAAAAAAAAAGCTTAGTACATCAATGGTAAGAGGTTATACCACATTTAATTTTTGAAATAAAATTAACTTTAAGTTAATTTTTAGTTATAGTTGATCATATGGTCAAGCATATTTTATAAACAAATATATATATATATATATATCAAATTAGATCTATATGGAAATAGTTTATATTTTTTTAACAATATTTTTTATGGAAAAAATATTTTAGATAGGATAAGCATAACTTGATCGTAATCAGGTGTTTGTATGTTTAGATAGGACACACATAACTAGATCACAATAAAGTGTTTGTATGTTGAGATAGGACACACATAACTAGATCACAATAAAGTGTTTGTATGTTGAGATAGGACACACGTAGCTAGATCACAATAAAGTGTTTGTATGTTGAGATAGGACACACATAACTTGATCACAATCAAGTGTTTGTATGTTGAGATAGGACACACATAGCTAGATCACAATAAAGTGTTTGTATGTTGAGATAGGACACACATAACTAGATCACAATCAAGTGTTTGTGAATTAAGATAGGACACACATAACTAGATCACAATCAAGTGTTTGTGAATTAAGATAGGACACACATAGCTAGATCATAATCAAATGTTTGTGAATTAAGATAGGACACACATAGCTAGATCACAATCAGGTGTTTGTATGTTTAGCTGCCCTTCTGTATATGTAAAGTAATCATGCTGTACTCAACTTTCCACCAAGTTTCATACCTTCCCATCCCCACCACCAGTGACTATATTCTGACCATCTGGAGAGTATGTGACACATGTCATGTCATTGAAATGACCTTGCTGTTTCAGGACATATGACTCTGACTGCCACTCCCAGACTAGAAGCTGTCCCAACTTTCCACAGCCAATGGCAATCCAGTCACCAGTGTTGTTGATAGCGATAGAGTCTACACTCTGTTCTGAAATACTGGCAACAAAAACACAATGTTATGGATGGGACTGATCTAGAGAAAGAAAAACTCTATGCATTCTTCACTGACAGTTTGGGATGAAAAATTTAAAACTAAGGATTTTAAGCTTTAATGCCATCTGGATCTTTAATAATTTAATATTACAGAGATTACACATTCATTGTGATTGACATACACATATAAATATCTTACACGTCGTTTCATTTTGAATATCCCCCAACATCACTTACGATACTATTTGAAGTCATTACAGTGATAACTGCTAATGACATTTACACAAGTCCTAAGCAACATCAGGTTAAGAAAAAGATGTACCTCAGTGAATGTATCATGCTGAAAGCTGGCATCTCATGCAAGAAAAATGTACCATCTGCGAATCCAGAGACCAGTATATGTGAAGATTTGTGGAATGCAGTACATGTCAGTTCTGAATAGCTTGGGTCTTTACGTAGACCTCTATATGTGTATCTGAAAAATAACACGTTGAGGTGATCCGATTGTACATTTTTATTATGTGCCTTTAAGACAAACAAAATGTGTTGATTTTCAAGAGTAATTATCGACATTTGGCAAATCTCTGGGAGGCAGAATCCACTAAAAAGATGAAAATAAGCAGAACCTACTTTCCTCCAGGATTGTACATGACTTTGGAATCTGAAAGTAAAAAAATAATAGAGAATTCAAACACAATTGAGATATGACTTCAACCAGTCTAACACAGATGTAATTAAATAATCCAATTTATTCAAATTAACCTGCTTCTTCCTCTTTATCCTGGATCTTTTTTAACTTCCTCTTTTTCTTGGTGGCGTTTGCCTCTTGATCCTCTTCTGCCTCCTCAGCTTCATCTTTGCTTTCCCATGGCTTCAGATCCTTTAGTGCTGTGTCACATTTCCAAACAAAGACATACCCATCTTGTGCCACGCAAATTACCTTTTTTTTAAGTTAAGGAAGATGATAAAGTAAAACAAACCATCAATACTAATAAACTTTACCTTTGAAAACTATTTCCATAAAAAGGGCCTATATGTGACTTCAAGGATTAAAGCGACCATATGTCATTCAAGTCTAAATGTGACTTCAAGGATTAATTAGAACATAAGGCATGCAAGTCTAAATGTGACTTCAAGGATTAATGTGACCATATGGCACCCAAGTAATAATGCACAATAACAATTTTCACTTGTCTTAAGCAAGACTGAAGTCAAAATAACTACAAATCTTTGGAGCAGCAAAAAAAAAAAAAAAAATGAATTCCTTTTCTATTTTGTACATGTCTATAAAAATATGACATCAATCCCTTTTTTGAAAGATTGCTATATGAAAAAACTCTCCTTAATACCCATAGCTAATGACTTCACAATAAATAAAAGTGTACCTAGTTGAATTTATTAAAAATGTACTCAGTGGAGCAGCAATGCATGTAAACAAAATAATTTATTGTTAAGATCATGATGTAAACTATGGCAATTAAAGCAACAATCAAGGGATTTATAATTAGAGTACACAATGTTTGAATCTGAAACATTGTGTCTTAGTCTCACCAGCTGATAGTTTGGTTTCTATATTAATCTCAGTGCAATATATTTGGAACTGAAAGAATGTGACTTGAGCAGCTGATAGCATTCTAGATCTGTAGTTGTTCCATACATAGACACCATGTTTAACATATGTGACTTGAGCAGCTGATAGCATTCTAGACCTGTAGTTGTTCCATACATAGACACCATGTTTAACATAACTCTCACAGTTCAACCAGTAAATACAAAGGATACATCAAGAGAGTTGTAGTCAAAGAAAGCACCAACAACTGTGTCCCTCAGGCCTCCAAGATCATAAACATTTAAGTTTGTTAATCTCTCTGTGGCCACCACTCGGGTGCGTCTGTCTTTTGAACCAGTACACAATACTCTATGAAGATAAACCAAAAGAAAATGAACATGACAAAAGACATCTTGGTGTTTTTTTTTTAAAAACATAAGAAAAATTGATATCTTAGAAACAGAGTGCATCTTCAAAATGGTGTGCTCAACATTCTTTCATGTTATAAAAATTAATTAATTAAATTGGACTTTGTAGCTCTCTGCCTGTGATGTAAAAACTGAGATGTAATGATACTTTGGGCCAGCTATTTTTAAAGTTGCGAGTTGCACCTCCTCTGTGGTGACATGACAGTATGACAGCTATTTTCAAGCTGTGAGTTGCAACCCCTCTAGGGTGACATGAAATGATGACAGGAGTCTGTTGAGAAATTACTGCTCTGTTGTGAAATGTTTATTAAAACATACTGAAAATAAAACTCTATGAGTAATCAAGGAGTCATGGCACTAAAAATGTCCAGAGCTGTTGTTCTAACCTGCAAAATAAAATTCACTAATTTCAAAATAACTGTTAGACACCCACCCCTTCAATAATGATTGTTAAAAGTGATTTATAGTAAGGTGTCTTTGAGTAAAAATTACTGTTTAACAATATAAAAATTCTAACCTTGAGTCTGAGGTCCAATCAATGGAAATAGCAGCATCAACATGGCCAGGAAATGTCCTGTACAGAACAAAAGGGTTGAAATCACGTGTCTTGCCAGGTGCATGAAAAACCTGGACCACTGTGTCTCTTGTAACTGCAAATTTCCTGAGAGGAACAAACAAGAAAAGTAGTTTCAAGCGAAAACTTGTAATGGACTGCAGCCAGGTTCTTTAAAATAACATGATTGAAATTGATTCCTATTAAACCAGTGTAAAAGTATTTAGAATTTGCCACAATTTATATTTCAACTAGGGATACACTATACTTTATTTTGGTCAAAAAAAATTAGTTGTGGATGAAATCTGATATTATAAGCCAATAATTGTTTTTTTCCTGCCATTATATAAATACAGACCTGTTTACCCTCAAACTCCTAAAATCGTACAATATCGTCTCAAAATCGTAAAATACATTATCTTAAAAATATATAAATAACCATAAAGTATATATAATGTTAAAATGATTACTCGCATCGCATGTCCAGTGGGATCAAGTTAAGCTGAAGTAAAAAAAAAGGGTAAATTCTAAAAGTAGATGACTGATGTTTATATTGCTATATGTGGTCACTTTGTTTTGAAGACGTGCATCTGCTATAGATATTACTTAATATTTAGGTGAACATGCAGATCACATTATCACAGTCTGTCACTGATAAAAATAAAAATACTGTTGAAATTTAACAAGTTCAACCTCAAAGTCAGATCAGCATGAAATAAAATGTATTAAAATAAGAATAATTAACAAACTACGGTGTCATTATCAAAAAAACCTACCAAGAAATTTAAGATTTTTATTTTTAGGAAATGCTGTTTAAAACAACAAATAAGAATCAGCATCCATTAAGCCTATTTCCTGTTAAATTTACAAGTGATATCGACAACAATCTTGATATGTGCGAAAGGAAGAGGAGGTATTAAAAATCGTACAGCTGTTTTGTGTGTTTTAAAAATAGATTTAAAAGGCCTTCTCAGATTTTTATAAAATATGCTGAAATCTAAGGCTGTGTCACAGAACAGATGAGAATGCATTCTCTAGTTTTCTCTGTTTCTGTACTCACCTTTGTCAGCCATAAGAAATAATTATGTCACAAAATTATGTCATACAGAACCAAAGCAAACAAACACAAAGAGGGGCAACGTGTATGGTGCGTACACATATTTTCGACCACCCGCCCCCAGTAACCCACTAGAGTAACTACTGCAGTTACTATATGGAGCTTAGTGATTTACAAATGTGTTATATTTATTTTTACCAAACCATTTATTTTCTTTATGCATTCGCTATTTTGAGGTGTACTTGTTAGAATTGAACACAGGGAGCCTGGTAAAAACCTAAATTTGACACAGGTGCCAGAAATCGACTAATTTTAGGAACCACTGGCGTAGCCCAACAATATATATGTGTATGTGCAGTGGACTATTTATTACTGCAATACCTCCACTACTCAGTATCATCTGAGTATTTCTAGTGAATTCACATTTGAAAACACATGACAACATTTTGAAGATAATTTCTACAAAACTTTGCATGATGTTTTTACAGCCTTTGAGATATACTATTTTTGGAATTTCATGATGAATATGCTAAAATTTTTGTATAATGTAGGTATTTTCTACCAAGACCCCGCTCCCCCCGGCTATACGCACGAGTGCTCAAAATCTAAAAAATTGACAACCCCCATCTCCCCTCATTGTGTACGTTCTATATGGATTGTCCCGGATTGACTAAAATTGTCACTAAGTCGACTACGTTAATATTACTGTTGCCGTGTCATGAAAATACAAAGCAACAGTATGACAATCACCTCTAATGTTACAAAAATGTGGCAGTGTTAATTTTAAACCCTTAAATATTTAGACCCACCCCTCACCCGTACACAAAATCTTCTAAATCAACACCACTCCATTCCCCTCTCAGGGCAAACTTAATATAATTATAGATGGTCCCCAACCAATCATATTCCTCGACCCATTCACTGCTGGACGTAGAATGCAAATTGAAACAACCGAAAATGTATTTTTAAATTATTATTTTTTTTTATATATCTGAAAAAAACTACCGGAATGTATATATTTTCAACTCGGTCTCTAATATTCATATTTCTGTCAGGTCTTGGCGTCCAATCGTAATAGACATCTCAAAATTGTACATTGTATGCCAAAATTGAAAGAGTAAACAGGTCTGTAAATAAATTCAGTAAATTTGATGAATTTTTTTCAACAACAAATAAACATTTTCACAATCATTTTAACTTAATTAATCCCCTGATATTAAATAGTGCAAGTGTCCCCTGATATTAAATATTGCAATTTTTACTTTATCAGGGACAGCCCAACCCCATAAACCTTTCATCTGACCACACTGAAGATATTTCCATTTAGTTAAACCAACCTTCCATCTGGTGAGAATTTGACTTGATGCACTTCATTATGAAAATGATGGATTCCAAGCACACTATGACTTATGAGACTAACGAGTAGACCTTCACCCTCTGAGAAAGACAATTTAAAAAAATAGAAATAAATGTATGAGTTTTATGACACAACACACGTTTACAGGAAAAAATTCATCATTTTTTAATTTCTGGTTACCAACATGATTTATTATGAGCAATGAGTTGATCCATATTAAAAAAAATACTAATATCAAAATACACTCAAAGGGAAATTATAGAAAAATGAAATGTGGTAAAAAAAAACAACAACAAGAAAGTAAATGAAGAGAGTGACAATTTACAGATTACCTTCTGTAACAACTATTGCTGTACAACCATCTGGTGATATGGCTGTACATGTGATGTTAACCTTGGTCTCCACTGGAAGAGTAGTTGACTTGTTGCTATATTTACAAAATATAAGAATTTATTGAAATGAATCAATTTTGTTTACCGATTACTGTTCCTGTAAACAAATCTGTTTTAGAACGGAAGTTCTAATTATAATCATTAAGGTTGCATCAATTAGAAAATTGTCCAATTGCTGATGACTCTGCATGTCTTATTAAGCTCATGCTTTTAAAAAATCCTTTTTTAAAAAAAAATTTAGCTTTGAAATGCAAATTGTAATTTAAGTTAATTCATACCATTTCAAAATTTATCACAATTTTAGAGCCACTATTATTATAATAATAACAATAATATTAGAGTTTATTTGAAAATCACGCTTCATCCCCAAAGGCTCGAAGCGCTGTACAAAGTCATCCATATTAAAAGAGAAATGAAAAAAATCTTTATTATACCACATTGAAATACAAAACGCAACATTACAAAAACCACATACGAGAATGCCCATTCTAATTCTTTCATCCCTTACAAACATAAACAATAGAGTTCAATATCCATCTATGAGATAATAGCCAGCTAGAAAAGATGGTAGACAAAATCACCCCAGCAAGTGTTTGCGAAATAGATAAGTTTTCAATTCAGTTTTGAAAGACTCCAGTGTCTGGCTGTTTCTGAGAGTGTCAGGAAGTGTGTTCCAAATTGTTGGGCCAGCAAATGCGAAAGTGCGCCTTCCGTAAGTCTCAAGGCGAACACATTGTATCGAGAGTTTGCCACTATCGGATGAGCAGAGTTGTCTAGTGGGTACATAAGTAGTCATAAGCCCTTTGAGCTAGGACAGTGCCAGGTCATGCAAGCAGCGGTAGCACAGAGTTGCAATTTTGAAATAAGTGGGTTGCGTTGGGGGTGGGGGGAAGCTATGCATACTAGAAGGATGAAATACTGAGAGAGAAAGGATAAAAATGATAAAGAGGGTGATAAATAATTAAGGAGGGGAGGTCGAAAGTTCACAAAGAAATAGACCTTACATCTTAATATAGGGCCAATATTGTGTGCTGTTGGGGTAGACTTCTTCCACGCAATATTATTAGCCTAAAATAAAACTTTTTTTACAGTAGATCTATTGACAGTCCACTGGCAAGTACTGGTCTTATTTTCTTTGGTTCATTAAATTTAGGCTACTAGGTAGAGCTTTATAAGATATTTAAACCAAGATAACAGACTTTTTAAAAAAATGTTGCCGACGATCTCTTGTCACATGATATGCCCGCTGGAAGAATATCTCCTGCACTATTTGTCAGGTCGCCGGACGTGTAGACACTGCCAAAGTGTAATACCAATTGGGTGTTCTCAGTCACAGTGTTATGCGTAAACGCAGGTTATATCAGAGAAAAAACAATAGACAGTGAAGGGGGGGGGGGGATTTTTTATAACACATTAACAGACCTGTTTACTCTTACGATTTCGGACGTGTGCTCTTCCCGTTTTAGACAGGGAAGGGGGGGGGGGGGATTTTTTATAACACATATACAGACCTGTTTACTCTTACGATTTCGGTGTACAATGTACAATTTTGAGGTTTATACATTATATATAATATACCTTGTTTTACTATTAAGATATTAACAGATCTGCATATAGAACATTGGACAGACTTAATTTTAAAATTTTATTTATTTAAATCCTGTATAAAATTCAATATTTCATTAAATTTAAAGCTCACATTTTACATCTAATATCTAAAGAGCAATGTCAAAAGGCAGATTAGTCAATTAATTGTAAAAAATATTGTTATATTTTAAGTTTTACCTTTTAAGGTCAAAGATTGAAACTCGATTTCCAACAGGACTAATGACACTGTTTCCATCTGGTGTAAAGATAATATTCCCTTTTCTGTAAACTGACCCAAGCAAGTTTGAAAACTAAAAAAAAAAAAACATTCAATTAATTCATATTAACAATAAAATTATACTAAATTTGTCAGAGTTCTGCTATAAAATATAACAGTTTGAAACCAAGGTACAAGGGTTGGGGTAGCAGGCATTCACTTTGTCACATTCTGCTTTGTCCTTTATCACAGTCACAGTCAACGAAAGACTTTTGGCTTGGGCATATAAAAATTAAAACTTATTGACTTAGACTTATTGATTCAATTCTATCTGGACTGCTCTGATAACCATGTTCCCTGGTTATCAGATTTTAGAAAATGTTTATGTTCAATTTAATAATTCAATAATATAAATATAATCATATTAATAATAGTTAAATAAAATTTAGAAGAAAAAAAATTCAAATTTTAATATCTGAAATATTTCAATTATTGACAATTAGATGCCGCCATCTTGGTTGACAAGACCAGTTAATTCTGTCACTAAATCTAAGTAAATGTAATCCCTAAACCTAACCTGTACCCTAAAAGGCTAATAGCACCCTGATGTCATTGGCGTGTTTTGTCCCTGGTTCCGATAGGGTCAAAACCCTGGTTCCATTAGGGTCAAAACCCAGGTTAGGGATAAGTTTAGGGATCAGGTTAGGTTTAGATTGAGGGTTCAGGGATAAATTTAGGACATAAGTTCACCATGGTAAAAAAACATGGTGTTATCTCTTCACATTTATTCCCTAAATGTATCCCTAAACCTAACCTGAACCCTGCCTAAATTAGCCACTTTGATGAAAATTTCAAAACATTTTTAAAAATATAAATGTATAGAGCCTGGAGAATAGATTACAAAAACACCAAGATCAACTTTCTAGCTCAAGTGGTTCAAAAGTTATGAATTTTTTAGTAGGGACCTCAAAACCACCTTTTTTACTACAGGATTTTCCTCCACATTTTGTGACCCTCTTTTTTTTTTTTTTTAACGCCTTTAACTTTATTATAAAATAAGACAAAAATATAATATTTACAGTGAATATAGTTAAATAAGAGTACTTCTAAATAAAGCCACAAAATATACGTTAGTTTTTGTTAATGTGCCGCAAATATAAAAAAAAAAACTTTATTTGTTGCCTATTAAAAAAAATGTATGAAAATGCTGACTCATCCCTTATTTGTAATTAATTAATTAAAATTTTGTTTTTAATTTCCCAAAAATCATGATAATAATAATATTCTTTAGCTATTAATTGCAGATTTTCTGTGGAATTGTTTAGCATTTTTAAGCTTAAACAAATAATAAAGGCATAAAGGGATTATTTGTTTTATTTATTTAAAATTAAAAATTAAACTTTTTATTTTACCATTTTCTACATATGTATTTGTTTTATTTATTTAAACTTGACAATTAAACTTTTTTATTTTACCATTTTCTACATATGTATATTATATATTATATTATTCCTATGCCTATATGAGTATGACAAAACAATCAGCATGTAATTTATTTTAAGTTTGTAATCTTGTTTTACAAATCAACATGTATTATTAGAATCAACTTTGACTTTAGCTGTTAATAGAAAATAAAATAATTTCTAGTCATTTACTAGCGGTAAGTACAGGTTTTTATGGTTGTTCTTTAGTAATATCTTAAGTAATTCTCGGATTGTTGTGCCAGAAAGTGTGTTTTTTTCTTTGGGAAACTGAGGATTATATAATAATCTCTTGTGGAATATTGTGATATGTGATTAAATATAGGATATTTCAATACCAAAGGTAAGTGAATATTTTAAAATTCTTTTACTTAGTTAATGCCTTAAGTAAGAATCACAATATTCATTAAAATTTTATTATTTATTTATTTATTTATTTAGGCATTTTTATATAGCGCTTATCATAAAGCTCTAAGCGCTTTACAATTATTAAAACAAGTAAACTAAGTAAATACAAATGAGACACTAGGATAGTAACTACTATTCTATAGAAACTTAAGGGACTTTTTGAAAATGGACGAGGTTTCACTATGACGTATATGGAAGGGGAGCTGGTTCCAGAACGTGGGCCCATGGAAGCAGAAGGAGCGTTCACCGATGGTCTTAGTTTTAGTTCTTGGGATGGAGAGGGTTCTACTGTCAATGGAAGAACGTAGTTGTCTTGTGGGGATGTAAGGAAGCAACAGTTCAGAGAGATAGACAGGAAAGTGAGGGTCAGTGAACGAGTTGAAACAAATCCTAAAATATAAATAAATATAATGTATTATAATAGGCCCTACAAATTAGTTGGGTTGGCCTTAACCCTGATATAGTATACTTTGTATTATACTATATGTATACAAGGCTTATAGCCTATGGTCATTATATATATATATACAAATAAATATTTATCTATAGTCTATAAATATATAAACTAGTATAAATGATAAATATATTAGTTGTAAGTTGTAATAAAAACTATTTATCCCACTCCTTAAATCATTTATAATAGTATAATTACTATTATAATAATTTTACTAAGCCTATCTAAGTCATAGACAAGAGCTTATCAATCCCATGTCAGTGTCAGCCAGGTCCATGGCAACCAACCCAAAAATAATTATTTATGTTATAAAACATTTTTTATTTATATAAAATGATTTATTATTAGTTATATTTCCCATTTACACTCTGGATAACCAACTTAATGAATTATTAATTACCCCATGGCTTCTATCGATAATTGGAAATAAGCAGACAAGCACGGTGGCCATGATGACAAATTACATAGCCTAAAAAATGACATCTTGGAAATTTGTTTTTGAAGCCCACCCATGGTCTACACTCATGAATTTTGGATATGTTGTAAATGAACCCATAAATTATAAGAGCTGAGTTTTTTTATTTTTGAGCCCATTTTTAAAAAAAAGTTATTATTGAGTGAAGTTGACCAATTTTTAACTTCAATTTTCAAAGCTTTAACTTTAACCTTGACCAAAAAAATCAAACAAACTCTTAATATAACAGGAAAGATGTTGGCTTTAAGTAATTGGCGGAAGTAAAATTATATTATTATGCTAAAAATCGATTATAAAACGCGAAACAACGATACCCTCAGCCCTCAGTAAATTAAAAAGTAGAGATCGCCAGTATGACAACGAAAATACGATACCCATTTTTCGGGTATTTCCGGTAGATACCGAGGTCCCTACCTAAAAATTACTAAATGTATCCTTAATAAACCTAACCTGAACCCTAAACCTAACCCCTAATTCAGTAAATTGTAAACACGCAAAAGACGCTGTGGCATTCGTTCTTAATTTTAGCCAACAATTATTCAAAATTCAATAGATTAAACATTAAAATTAGCCACCCACAAACTTATTTAAACTTTGCCTTTCTCGATTCTTTTTTAATCTACATTCTACAAGTATAAGTCATAAGTAGATAACTATTAAGTCTATTTATTATTTATTAATAACTAACTTATCTAACTACACCAAAGTACGCACCTACAGTAACTATGTCTAAACTTAATTAACTTTAAAAAGTTTAAGTCTTAAACTTAACTTAAATGACTACAATTCAATTGAATACAACATGCTTTACTTAACAAATTAAACATGAGTGAGGAATAGGAAATTTTAGGCAGAGTCCACCCCACACGTCACACACAGAATTAGCCGCTGCGCGATCACTATGACTATGATTCTATGATTATGAAGTTCTCTTAATTACTTGAACAATATTGTCCTATACTGTAATACCTGAAAAGCGAATTTCATTTTTTTTTCCCCAATGTGTTGGTTTCTACTTCTCGGCGGAATATAACCTACATTTATGATTAACCTTTTTTTTTTATGACTTTAGACTTTAACTTTGTAATTCTATTTTAAATTCCCGGAAGCATGGCTTTGTTTACATCGTTTCATACACTTTGCCGATTGCGATTTTAAAACATAAAAATGATTTTAGCATAAAAAGGGGAGGGAAGTCGTATCCAAATCTATTAAATCAATTTATTGTAATTGTAGGTGTTATGGTTAGTGTCGAGTTGAAAAAATATGTAAACAACATATATATATATATATAATATATATAAGAAACTTTAATATATATTTTTCATTAATTAAGTTTGACGAAAGAACACACTGTACTGTTTGATGAAAAAAATTCATTGATAATTTATTATATAATATATATAATAAACAATCACAATCATATTATACACTGGACTATTTTAAAACATGATTCATTAAATAATTATTTATATGATGTTAATTTATAGGCAATTTAAACATTACATTTATTTTACAATGTCGTAATGCTAAGTTTGTTTTGGACCTTTAAAAAAATTACAATTTCCCTTAAAATTATATTTATATTTAGTACCCTTTAGTAAAGGCTTTACTTTTATGCTAAGTTGTAAGTTTAAGCTTTAATTTCAAATCATATGCAAATTGAATTACCGAATACTCAGTAGAGTTGGCTGAATTAGGGCCTATTTATTATATGATATATGTATATATTCATTTTTATTATTAAATAATTAAAGCATTACACTATTGTAAATTTACAGTAATTAAAGTCAGTCATTTTATATTTACACTATTTTAAAGTCAGTCTTTACAATTTTATTACACTGTAATTGACAGCATATAATTCATATAATTGTAATGTAGTTGTAGACTAGTTATTAGGACTAGTTATTTAATGACTAGAGTAGTTGTTTTAATTTAATATATATTTTATTTGTAGCAAGAAATAATTTGAAAAAGTCCTCTCGTCATGTAATAGCTGATAAGCTTTAAATAATATGACTTTATTAGTTTTATACTATGATTTGAATGAATTAGTCTTCTAAGCCAAAATCTATAATATTATATAATTGTTCTTGCGACTGTAGCAAACATTGTTTTGCAAAGTTGGTTTGGAAATACTTTTTGATATTTTTCCGGAACCATATGACTTAATTTTTCATGATGTAAGCGAATTCGCAATTGGCCAAATGTATAAATGGTGCGCCAATGATATTTTTCCTTACTAGAAAGGCCGACTTCCTTATGAAAGTCACATGATCATATGACAACTACGTCACTCGCCATCTTGCAGAAAGCTTGTGACAGAGAACGTTCATTCTTTCATTTTGCTTCAATATTTGTTGGAAGTAGCTCTATTCGCCCAAAAACTAAGTGAAAATGTCGACATACAACATGGATGCCCCACCATACTCCGCCTTCTTTGGAGTTATGGGTGTAACATCTGCAATTTCTTTTTGTGGTAAGAATTTTGTAATTGTGTTGTCTGCTGGATTTTCTCAAAATAAGAATACATTTAATTTGGGTGTGTCGTTTAACACAAGTACTGCAAGTGAGGGGTACTTTATTTCAACATTCATTTAGTTTGACAATTTACCTACTATGGAAGCGTATATTTTATATAGGTCTATATCTAACGCTTTTCAAACAAGACCAGGGACAGGGAGGAAACCTGAAATCTGTAATGTAGTCAAATACTTATACTCTAAAACTGTCAAAAGGACTCATTGAAGTCGCTGAATTAAACTACTTCTACACTAAAGTTAGTGACTGAGTTGAAACCACTGAGTCAGAGATTAATCAGAAAAATGTTCATAGTAAGGTATGTTCTAGTAGCACTGAAACCCATATGTGGGGGGCGGTGGGTGATTTACTTGATAATCAACTAATCAAGTGTCTATTGGTAGTTTACTCCCATTTCCATAAAGCTTCTAGTTAGGGCAGGGAGCTATTTCTAGTAAACTACCAATATATTCTAGAGAGCTATTGATATTCCAGCAAATCAAACCAAAATCAGAGCTTTATAACACACTTTCAATGATGCTGGCGAAGTATTGCCCGTTCATTACTAGTTCGTAGTAGTGACAAGACCTCAGCACTAATTATAAAATCTACACAGTAGCCTACTGTTTTTACACTGTCTGCTGTAGCCTTCCTCATGCTCAGATATGGGTATCTTGCTATTTAATTATAATTTATAATATAGGATTAGACCTAATGTAGAAAGATGTATGACAATGTATGATACTGGGGTGAAGCGGATCATAGTCTGAAAAAATGTTACCTAGCTTCTCCTTTGCTCAGGCCAAAGTAATATGTAGAGTAAAAATAAAAGTCCAGATGTAGAAATTTTGTGCGTTCTAATAATTATGATTAAAATTATGTTATAAAATACAGGCCTAAATATGTCTATAATTACTATAAGAAGTTTTACTGCTTACAAAGTGTGCATATTAAAAAAAATCTTGTTACTTTAGTTAAATGAAACTGTATAATAACGTGATAAGGCTTAAAGAAAAACATAAGCTTCGACCAATCTTTGTTTAGGAACATGGTCACTCGAACACACACACACCTCACACACCCCCCTATCGATTTTTGTTAGGAAATAGGTCTGCGGAGTGAGGAGATATGTCTGCGGAGTGTTATTTACATAATTGAGCCCATTTTAAATATAAAATTTCATTGGCTGTATATTGTGCACCAATAACACAAATTGATTTAATGTCTAGGAATCACTATTTATTTTTTAATGCTATGCAGAATCAGTGTTTTAAACTGCACATAAACATAAGCAGCGATAACATAAATTAAATCTTATACAAAGAAAGAAAAATAAGTGTATTATGTCTTATAAATCTGATTGGAGTGAATTTGTGAGACTAGACACAAACAATACATTTTTTGGCAACATAGGCTTACATACTTAGGAGTGATTTCAGTGATGTAATTAAAAGTAAATTGTGACTACCAATATTATTAGACTTAGTCAATACTGCACTACATCATCTAATCACTATCACCAATTGATAGTTTTTATAGTACACTACCAATAGCCCCTAGAAGCTACTGGTAGTGGAGTTCCAATAGCTCTCTAGAAGCTATTGGTAGTTGGTAGTGGAGTTCCAATAGCTCTCTAGAAGCTATTGGTAGTTTACTACCAAACAGCCAATCAGAATTATTTCTTTTGGCAGGTTTACTAGAAAATATCTGAATATGTAGAAACTTTTAGTTTTTAATTGTTTGCTCCTTGGCCTTATTATTGCAGACTAACATATTTCATATTCACAAATGTCTAATCAAGAGGACAGCATTGTACCAACTTACGTTTACATGTGCTGGAATTATATCATCTCATTATTCCTGCATTTTTCATTTTAAAAATGAGTATGATTGTTAAAATGCAGTTAGTGGCAGGCCCATTGATTTCTCCCTAAGACCTTAATTAGTGGAAAACAATTTTTTTTGCACAGACCTGGGTGAGGGTGTTTTGGCTTTCATTCTGCTATTTTAGGTCTTAAATTAATATGGGAATTTTGATAGTCCTCAGTTTTAATTTTTATATTGAATAATTTTTTACTTAACAGCATTGGGTGCAGCCTATGGCACTGCCAAGTCTGGCACAGGAATCTCAGCTATGGCTGTTATGAAGCCTGAGCTTATCATGAAGTCTGTCATTCCAGTCGTCATGGCTGGTATCATTGCCATTTACGGCCTTGTCGTAGCCGTCGTCATTACCCAGGATATGCCAACAAAGGATTATACTCTTTACAAGTAAATACATTTTTAATGTGATTGAATGTATTATATTACATTTTCTGAACGTTTTTTTTTTTTTTTGTTCTTTATAAATATGTCTAACTGTAGCAAACATATTTGCTTATTAACTGGTGAACTTTATATTTATTTCAGGAGTTTCCTTCATCTTGGTGCTGGTCTAAGTGTAGGACTTAGTGGTATGGCTGCAGGATTTGCTATTGGCATAGTAGGAGATGCAGGTGTGAGGGGCACGGCGCAGCAACCAAGGTTATTCGTTGGCATGATTCTGATCCTTATTTTCGCAGAAGTATTGGGTCTATATGGGCTTATTGTGGCCCTTATTTTGTCAGTCAAGTAGATCTTTGGTGCAGTTATCTCCTTAGGAAAAAAACCCTCAAAATTCTAAAATGGTTTCAATGTTCACGTGTTAATATTAAAATAAAATGGCCGTCTAATTTACAACAAAAAGTATAGTAAAAATTCCTCCCTTTCTGTCTCTGCAATTAGATTTTTCTTTTGGAATAATCATGCTGAATATTGTACTGTGATTTATTATTTGGGAGTATTTTTTTTAGTGTTTGGTACACATTTCTCTGGTAAGGAATTTTTTTTTCGGCAGTCTATAAAGAGGAGAGCTTTAATATTTGTAGTGTTTTTTTATGTTCCATCTAAAAAGCTTTGTTTAGAATCAAAACTTATAAATTCCAGCACAAATTTGACCTTTACTAGTTGATCCTGTTTGAGAATACATTTTTTTAACAGCCAAAATCTTAAAATCTAGTAGCACAAATAGAATATTGTGACATTGGTATTATAAAACTGAAATCAAGAAATGTCCAATTTTTGATTGGCTTAAGTCAAGTGAATTAAATTTTAATGATATTCGTGCCAAAGCTTGACAATTTTATCCCCCCACTTTGTCATTAAGGTTAAGGATTAGTAAATATAAACTTTCCACTGAGTATCTGTGATGATAAAGAGTGAAAAAAGGCACCTTCGCAATCCACAAGGCTGTTTTGCTTGGGTGTAATATGTCATTCATCATGGATGGATTGATTATAAAACCCTGGTGTCATATTATATATATATATAATTATTTTCATGTCATATTTATGTTCTTATACCATGTATAACAGGAGGTTTTTTTTAAACTGCATACAATTCATCTGTTTATGTAATTAGTTTATTTTAGCCTGCTTTAAATTTCTGCTTTGACATATCTGTATTTTAAATGGTAAATTCTCATTGCTAAAGCTCAGCACTTGAAGATGACATTTTACCATACAAAATTGTGCTCTAGCTAAAGGTGTTGCTACCTTTTTTGATAAAACAAACATTTGCATTGTTTGTACTTAAATTGCTGCGTCCTGAAATTAAAAAAAAAAATATTGGGTACGCTTTTTTTAACATAAATTTTTAGGTTATTGAAACATTCCACAGAACATCTGAAAAATTAGTTTTTGTATTGAACATGCTTGTAATAAAATACAGCACACTTTTTTTACCTAGTTTTTTTTCTGTTTTCAAGCTCTCCTCTGTAACATTTTGTCATCCATGTACTCTCATTTGTTGAGTGTTCTAAAAGTAGAGATGCCAGCTCTGGCTTTTTATGGCCTTTGTGGTTCTGAGAGGACATAGTTTAATACATAGTCCTGAGGTAATTGTAAACAAAATGGACCAAACTGCATCTTTGCTATAGTCTCAGAAACATCACTAATTTTTGTTGTAGATAGTCCCTCACATTTTGTACAGGTCTAGCTATAGATAATTTATAGTGTGGCTGTGGAAGAGTGGCTCCAAATGACATTTCTCTTATGAGACATTTCGAAATGGAGGGTTGGCAATTTCCCAATTCAATTACCTTTCGATTTCTCTAAGAATTTGAGTGTATTGTATGCGGTACCATCCCCACATAGCAGATATGTTAAAACTTGAGAAAGCTAAGAGTCATTGCATCATTTTTGGTATGCTTGTACATGGCTAATTTGTTATTTGATTCAATTATTTGGAAGTGTATTGAAGATAATTCAGAGGCCCAATAAACATAAGGGATAATTCTGTGTAATGTCCTGCTAATTTTTCTTTTGTGAACGTGTGGATTTATTGTATATCAACTGTGAGATTGACTTTTAAATATTGTTTTTGTCCCGAATGATCGTCGGATGTTGTGTATGACATTTGGGTAATTAATGCAGACATTTACAACTGTTTTTGTGTACAGAGTCTTTATTAATCAGTCTCAAAGGCTGTTAAAAGTAGTTTTAGTGTTGTTGCTGATTGTGTATATCTGGGTAACTTTTTTTTCCATTGGTGTCATGCAGTAAAGTCATTAAAAGATAAGCCAATTCCTGGATTTCATCTTATTGTGTACGTTTTGATAGTTGTTATACAATTGCTTAGTCTCTCCAAGAGTGTTTCATGGCAGCAAAAAGCATTATGGAAGACACAATACAAAGGATTTTTTGGTCTATTTACTGAAAATTGTTCACTTTGAGTAGTTGGACTTTACAGAAAAAAAGTATGAGATCTCGCATTTTTTATACCGTATCTGCAAAAAGTAATACCGGTAGCTGAAGTTAAGACAAAAATCTGAGCAAGTTTTCAAAAACTGTGCTTAACTTGTTTCATCATTTTACTTGGGTAAAGTTAAAACAAAACAGATCTCTGAACTGATCATAAATTTAAAATAAAGCCTGAGGTTTCTTGTGATGTGTAGAAAGCTATTGCACTAACAAGCTTGGCGCTGATGCTATACCGGATGTGTTTGAGATGTCTATAAATGGCTTGTACACCAAATAACCCAATTAAAATTCACAAGGCCCTAAGTTGTAATTTAAAAGAGTATTTGTATAAACAAAGATTGATTTAATGTACTAAAAAGATTGGTTTTTAAAATAGAGGGAGTAGCCTCCCCTTTTAATTGTGTCTAAGAAGGGGAAAAAAAGAGGGAGCTTGTTTCCCCTTATATTGTGTCTTTAAATTTAAAGATATTTTAAAAAAAATTATGGGCTAATATAAGAATTATATAATGGAATGCAAGAGAACCAACAAAATCATAAAAAATTGAGAAGATTTATTGTTGAATTTGAATACCGGTACAATTACAATCTTTCAACTGCACTGATCTTCCAAAACTACATGTTTTTCGGAAATGTATTTCTGTCTTTCCGTACATGCCTACCAATAAAAGAACAATAAATTAACTATCAGTACATAAACAGTTATCACAAACAAAATGTAGGAATTTATCTAGCTCTGATGATTTGATTGTGTTTTCATCTTGTCCCTAACATCAGTTGTGTATTCATGTTAACAGTTAAATAACTACAAAAAAGGTTGCAATGTAGTTTGGCATTGGTCATACTGGTAGGCCCATCAGCATTCCATATCGGTCAGAGTTTGTTTGCAGTCAGGTCATTCAATTCATAGTATAGTTGCCAGTAAGTTGAGTTAAACCTTGGCCAAAGCCTTCTCCAAGAGGTTCTGTAGTCGAGACACACCGATCCTAGGGTCCTCAATGAGTCCAGCATTGATCATGGCATTGTCATACAGCTGAAATATAGTTCAGAATAGAAATTTTTTACTATGATTATAATTAAGAAACGTCTGAAGAAACAAGTCATTCTTTTACAAATTGATCCATTAAGTTCAATGTCAACTACAGATCTTGTTAATACGATGAGTTGTACACATGATTATATCAACTACAGATCTTGTTTATATGATGAGTTGTACACATCATTCTTTCAACTACATATCTAGTTAATGTGATGAGTTGTACACATGCTTAATTCAACTACATATCTTGTTATATGATACGTTGTACAAATGATTTTATTCACCACAGATCTTAATATGAGTAGTACACATAATTCTGTCAACTACACATCTTGTTGCCGGTACTGACTTGTACAAATGATTTTATCAACTACAGATCTTGTTAATAAATGTAGTTAATGAGTTGTACACATGATTCTGTCAACTACACATCTTGTTACTATGATGAGTTGTACAGATGATTCTGTCAACTACAAAACAGCTCACCACCATATAAAAGAAATTGGCTTAGCATGTCTCCACACTTCAAATTCAAAGAATGTCCCTACATTTTTATTTTGTCAACTCCGCATAGCGAAATGAAAGTACACGTCAAAATACGTAGAGCAATAACAAGACTAAGGTTTATGTTCAAAGGGAGAGCAGAACAGTTTAACCGGTTATCGTGAACTTGTTTTGTAGAAGTTTGTATTGAGGTGTGCCACAATGGGGATTATTGATGGTGCTTTCAATAAGCTCTAATGGGATACCTTAAGCCTTAGACGGTCAATATGAAAATAGGCTAGTGGCCTGAATTGTAACATTTGAAACAAAATCCAAACTATGCAGGCCTACTCAGTGCAATAGTTGAATCAATCCATGCATGCCTACTCAGTGCAATAGTTGAATCAATCCATGCATGCCTACTCAGTGCAACAGTTGAATCAATCCATGCATGCCTACTCAGTGCAATGGTTGAATCAACCCATGCATGCCTACTCAGTGCAATGGTTGAATCAACCCATGCATGCCTACTCAGTGCAATAGTTGAATCAACCCATGCATGCCTACTCAGTGCAATTGTTGAATCAATCCATGAATGCCTACTCCATGCAATAGTTGAATCAATCCATGCATGCCTACTCAGTGCAATAGTTGAATCAACCCATGCATGCCTACTCAGTGCAATTGTTGAATCAATCCATGCATGCCTACTCAGTGCAATAGTTGAATCAACCCATGCATGCCTACTCAGTGCAATAGTTGAATCAACCCACGCATGCCTACTCAGTGCAATAGTTGAATCAATCCATGCATGCCTACTCAGTGCAATAGTTGAATCAATCCATGCATGCCTACTCAGTGCAATAGTTGAATCAATCCATGCATGCCTACTCCATGCAATAGTTGAATCAATCCATGCATGCCTACTCAGTGCAATAGTTGAATCAATCCATGCATGCCTACTCAGTGCAATAGTTGAATCAATCCATGCATGCCTACTCCATGCAATAGTTGAATCAATCCATGCATGCCTACTCAGTGCAATAGTTGAATCAATCCATGCATGCCTACTCAGTGCAATTGTTGAATCAATCCATGCATGCCTACTCAGTGCAATAGTTGAATCAATCCATGCATGCCTACTCCATGCAATAGTTGAATCAATCCATGCATGCCTACTCCATGCAATAGTTGAATCAATCCATGCATGCCTACTCCATGCAATAGTTGAATCAATCCATGCATGCCTATAAGTGCAATAGTTGAATCAATCCATGCATGCCTACACAGTGCCAATGGTTTAAACATTCCAAAAACTAACCCTCAGGTCTCCGAGAAATATATTTAAAAAATAAATGTAACGGTAGATGTTGGCGTCACCTTTGCACCAAATATTGTAACAGTGACAGACATTAGTGTCACCTTTGCACCAAATGTTGTAACAGTGACAGATGTTGGCGTCACCTTTGTACCAAATGTTGTAACAGTGACAGATGTTGGAATCACATTTGCACCAAATGTTGTAACAGTGACAGATGTTGGCGTCACCTTTGCAGCAAATGTTGTACCAGTGATGATGTTGGCGTCACCTTTGCACCAAATGTTGTACCAGTGACAGATGTTGGCGTCACCTTTGCACCAAATGTTGTAACAGTGACGGATGTTGGCGTCACATTTGCACCAAATGTTGTAACAGTGACAAATGTTGGCGTCACCTTTGCACCAAATGTTGTAACAGTGACAAATGTTGGCGTCACCTTTGCACCAAATGTTGTACCAGTGACAGATGTTGGCGTCACCTTTGCACGAAATATTGTAACAGTGACAGACATTAGTGTCACCTTTGCACCAAATGTTGTAACAGTGACAGATGTTGGCGTCACCTTTGCACCAAATGTTGCAACAGTGACAGATGTTGGAATCACATTTGCACCAAATGTTGTACCAGCGATGATGTTGGCGTCACCTTTGCACCAAATATTGTAACAGTGACAGACATTAGTGTCACCTTTGCACCAAATGTTGTAACAGTGACAGATGTTGGCGTCACCTTTGCACCAAATATTGTAACAGTTACAGACATTAGTGTCACCTTTGCACCAAATGTTGTAACAGTGACAGATGTTGGCGTCACCTTTGCAGCAAATGTTGTAACAGTGACGGATGTTGGCGTCACATTTGCACCAAATGTTGTACCAGTGATGATGTTGGCGTCACCTTTGGACCAAATGTTGTAACAGTGACAGATGTTGGCGTCACCTTTGCAGCAAATGTTGTAACAGTGACGGATGTTGGCGTCACATTTGCACCAAATGTTGTACCAGTGATGATGTTGGCGTCACCTTTGCACCAAATGTTGTAACAGTGACAGATGTTGGCGTCACCTTTGCACCAAATGTTGTACCAGTGACAGATGTTGGCGTCACCTTTGCACCAAATGTTGTAACAGTGACGGATGTGGGCGTCACATTTGCACCAAATGTTGTAACAGTGACAAATGTTGGCGTCACCTTTGCACCAAATGTTGTAACAGTGACAAATGTTGGCGTCACCTTTGCACCAAATGTTGTAACAGTGACAAATGTTGGCGTCACCTTTGCACCAAATGTTGTAACAGTGACGGATGTTGGCGTCACCTTTGCACCAAATGTTGTAACAGTGACGGATGTTGGAGTCACCTTTGCACCAAATGTTGTAACAGTAATATAATGTAGCTATCGTAGTTGAGGGAATATGAACATATTTAAATAATGTAGCTATTGTAGTTGAGGGAACATGAACATATTTAGATAATGTAGCTACTGTAGTTGAGGGCACATGAACATATTTAGATAATGTAGCTACTGTAGTTGAGAACACATGAGCATATTTAGATAATGTAGCTATTGTTGTTGAGGGAACATGAACATATTTAGATAATGTAGCTATTGTAGTTGAGGGAACATGAACATATTTAGATAATGTAGCTATTGCAGTTGAGGGCACATGAACATATTTAGATAATGTAGCTACTGTAGTTGAGGGAACATGAACATATTAAGATAATGTAGCTACTGTGGTTGAGGGCACATGAACATATTAGGATAATGTAGCTACTGTAGTTGAGGGAACATGAACATATTTAGATAATGTAGCTACTGTAGTTGAGGGAACATGAACATATTTAGATAATGTAGCTACTGTAGTTGAGGGCACATGAACATATTTAGATAATGTAGCTATTGTAGTTGAGGGCACATGAACATATTTAGATAATGTAGCTATTGTAGTTGAGGGAACATGAACATATTTAGATAATGTAGCTACTGTAGT